AGCCAATGAGCTTATACCTCTATTTATTGAATGTGGAAAAAAAATGTATTCATGTCCAGCATCTTGCTCTAGGTGTGTCATCATTCATGGACAGAAGAAGAATATGTGATGACCGTATGTGATCATCAAACCTCAGCCCTCTGTTACTGGTCTATCACTCTTATCCTTGGCAAAACCTTGTCTGACAATGTTCCCAAACAGCTTGCAGCAGTTAATCAACTCTAGTCAGCTCTTTTACACATCTCCCTGAGCTCTGCAGTCTCTAAAGTACATTTGTCTGCCAGTGGGTTTCTGGAGAAAGCATCTGCAATAATAAACATTTTCCCAGGAACATATGCTGCATGCAGCTTAAACCTATCAGGCATCACAGAAATCTCTTGCACCTTAAGGGAATTAACACAGATTTGATTTTGCTAAAGGAGATAAACTTGATACTTTGAAAGAATGCCAAACAAGCAGAAAATTGCAGCAGATGTGCTCACATCTCAATATTAGTGTAAGTGTATTTCTAATCTTTTGTAGAATAAAATACTCAAACAACAACTGTACATATATTATCGCTATTAACGTGTCACATAATTCTGATGATATTTCTTTACTGAATTATTATAAGGCTTGAATTATTATAAGCCTTATTATTATAAGCCTTACCATAACTCCAATGATGACTAGTGACTATATATAATAATATGATTTTTCAAGCAAATTGGCTTGGAGATGCACAATGTCAAAGACAATATTATCAACTTGGTGTTTGATTTCCCTTGGATTTCCATCCACCTTTTTTTTTTCTTTATTGATTAAGGTATTACATATGTGTCCTTATTCCCCCATTGCCCCCCACTCCCCGCACTCATGCCCTCACCCCACTGGTGTCTGTGCCCATTAGTTATGCTTATATGCATGCATACAAGTCCTTTGATTGATCTCTCCCCCTTACCCCCACTCTCCCCTACCTTCCCTCTGTTGTTTGACGGTCTGATTGATGCTTTTTGTGTCTCTAGTTCTGTTTTTGTTCATCAGTTTATGTTGTTCATTATATTCCCCAAATGAGTGAGATCATATGATATTTACCTTTCTCTGACTAACTTATTTTGTTTAGCGTAATGCTCTCCAGGTCCATCCATGCTGTTGCAAATGGTAGGAGTTCCTTCATTTTTACAGCAATATAGTATTCCATTGTGTAGATGTACCACAGTTTTTTAATCCCCTCATCTGCTGATGGGCACTTATGCTGTTTCCAAATCTTAGCTATCTCAAGGCCATATATCAAGCTGTATTATAAAGCCACTGTTCTCAAAACTGCCTGGTACTGGCACAAGAACGGACATATAGACCAATAGAATAGAACAGAGAACTCAGAAATTGACCCAAACCACTACGCTCAATTAATATTTCACAAAGGAGGCAAAAGCACACCATGGAGTCAACACTGTCTCTTCAATAAATGGTGTTGGAAAAATTGGACAGATACATGCAAAAAAGAAAACTAGACCACCAACATACAGCATACACAAAAATAAACTCAAAATGGATAAAGGACTTAAACATAAGATGGGAAACCATAAAAATCTTAGAGGAATCCACAGGCAGCAAAATCTCAGGCACATGCCAAAGCAATATCTTCACCAATACAGCTCCTGGGGCAATGGAAACTAAAGAGAAAATAAACAAATGGGACTACATCAAAATAAAAACCTTCCGCACAGCAAAAGAAACTATCAGCAAAACAACAACTAAGCGCACTGCATGGGAGAACATATCTTCCAATGTTATCTCTGATAAGGGTTTAATCTCCAACATTTACAGGGAACTCATACAACTTAACAAAAGTAAGATAAACAACCCAATCAAAAAAATGGGGAGAGAAACCAAGATGGTGGCATAGGTAAACACCGGAGTTTGCTGCCTCGAACAACCACTTCAAAAATACAACTAAAAGATGGGATGGACATCATCCAGAACCACAGGAAGGCTGGCTGAGTGGAAATTCTACAACTAGAAGGAAAGAGAAAAGCATACCAAGACTCAGAGGAGGTGCAGTACGGAAGTAAAATACTAAGGTGTGGAGGTGCATTCGGAGCGGGCTGGCGGCCGAGGGTGCGGTTGTCATTTTAAATTGGGAGGGAGTCTCAGGCTCTGAGCTCCAGTTCCAGGCGAGTCTCTAGGGACCCAGACTCATACGGGAGAAGCGGAACTGTCTGGCATCGGTCGGAACTCGAGGGAAGCTTTCTCTCCAAGGGGCTTGCAGCGATTACCTGGACACTGAGAAGCAGAGCCTCTGAGGGTAAGACTGAGAGCAGCCATAGCTGCTAGCCCTGCCCTATTGATCCCGTGGGACCCGCCCCACCCAAGCCCTGCAGGGAGGCTTTTGCTGGATAGCCTTAAGCAAAAGCGAGATTAGCACCTCCCTAGAGATCCAGGAGCCAGGAAACCCAGAGGTCAGAGTGGGGCCATCCAGTTTGCAGCTCCATGGAACCATAAAGGACACACTCAGGGGGCAGACTCAGTGAGCACCAAAGCCCCATCAAAGCAAGTCTAGCCCCAGAGGGGTGTCTCCAGAACAGAAGTTCTCCCACTGCAGACACAGCTGATTCTCACAGCCAATTGGCCTGGAGGTCAATTCCTGCCAGTGATACCTACAGCAATCAAGGCTTAACTACAACAAGACTGTGCACAAAGCCCACAAGAGGGTGCACCAAGGGTGTCCTCCTCAGGTAATTGGGGAGGCTGAACCACTGGGTCCTAGAGGACACTCAGCACAGAAAACCACTTTATCAACACAGGGAAACTTAAAAAATGCCGAGACAAGAAAAAGGACACAAATGACAGAAATGGAGGAAAGAAAACTACTGGATATAAAGTTCAAAACCACACTTTTAAGGTTTTTCAAGAATTTTCTAGAAACTGCTGATAAATTTAATGAGATCTACAAGAAATCTAATGAGACCCTCAAGGTTGTGATAAAGGACCAACTAGAAATTAAGCATACACTGACTGAAATAAAGAATATTATACAGACTCCCAACAGCAGACTAGAGGATTGCAAGAATCAAGTCAAAGATTTGAAATATGAAGAAGCAAAAAACACCCAACCAGAAAAACAAAATGAAAAAAGAATCCAGAAATACGAAGATAGTGTAAGGAGCCTCTGGGACAGCTTCAAGCGTACCAACATCCGAATTATAGGGGTGCCAGAAGAAGAGAGAGAGCAGATATTGAAAACCTATTTGAAGTAATAATGACAGAAAACTTCTCCTACCTGGTGAAAGAAATAGACTTACAAGTCCAGGAAGCACTAAGAACCCCAAACAAAAGGAATTTAAAGAGGACCACACCAAAACACATCATAATTAAAATGCCAAGAGCAAAAGACAATGAGATAATCTTAAAAGCAGCAAGAGAAAGTCAGTTACCTACAAGGGAGTACCCATACGACTGTCATCTGATTTCTCAACAGAAACTTTGCAGGCCAGAAGGGAGTGGCAAGAAATATTCAAGGTGATGAATGCCAAGAACCTACAACCAAGATTACTTTATCCAGCAAAGCTATCATTCAGAATCGAAGGTCAGATAAAGAGCTTCACAGATAAGGAAAAGCTAAAGGAGTTCATCACCACCAAACCAGTATTATATGAAATGCTGAAAGGTATCGTTTAAGAAGAGGAAGAAGAAGAAAAAGGTAAAAATACAAATTATGAACAACAAATACACATCTATAAACAAGTGAATCTGAAAATCAAGTGAATAATCTGATGAACCGAATGAACTGGTGATTATAATAGAATCAGGGGCATAGGAAGGGAATGGACTGGCTATTCTTGGGGGGAAAAGGGGTGAGAGGGATGCAGGAAGAGACTGGACAAAAATCGTTTACCTATGGATGAGGACAGTCGATGGGGAGTGAGGGAGGAGGGTGGGGTGGGAACTGGGTGGAGGGGAGTCATCGGGGAAAAAAAGAGGAACAAATGTAATAATCTGAACAATAAAGATTTAATTAATAAAAAAAATGGGCAACGGAGCTAAATAGATACTTTTTGAAAGAGGGTATACAGAGGCCAAGAGATATATGAAAATATGCTCAAAGTCACTAATCATCCAAGAGATGCAAATCAAAACGACAGTGAGGTATCATCTCACACCTGTTAGAATGGCTATCATCAACAAATCAACAAATGACAAGTGTTGGTGAGGATGTGGAGAAAAAGGAACCCTCTTGCCCTGCTATTTGGAATGCAGACTAGTACAGCCACTATTGGAAAGAGTATGGAGTTTCCTCAAAAAAGTAAAAATGGAACTCCCATTTGACCCAGTGTTCCCACTTCTAGGAATATATCCCAAGAAACTAGAAACACCAGTCAGAAAGGATATATGCATCCCTATGTTCATAGCAGCATAATGTACAATACCTAAGATTTGGAAATATCTATCGACCTTTTGATATTCAGTGGAAAACACTGAACTCTAAGATCATTTTAGAAGCCTCTCTTCAGGTATAACAACTTTTTCCCCTTCTATGCATATGCTACAGTTGTGTGCTTATCTGGTTTTGGTACATAGCCTGGTGCTTTTTGTCAACATTTTTTGTCTTGCCAATTAGGTTGAAGAATGTTTGGGTGAAAGGGTCTAGGTTTTATGTTTTCTATGTGCCTTGATTTTAGCACGTACTCAATAAATATTCTTTAATTAAATATCTCTAGGTGTCAAGACATACATATTAGACAAAGATCAATTTGCTGATACTTTGAGAAATGAGGATAAATGTGCTCTTGTTACTCTGTCAAATAAAGGAAACTAAAAGTGGTAATAAATGTAAACATTAATTTCTTCCCTCAAAGTAGAAATAAATAAAATAAAAAATTATAATTTGATGTTTCCTAATACTATTCTTAATTCAGTAAGTTATTTGTTGAAGTCTTTCAACCTTGGTTGAAAAGCAAGAAATCACATTTGTATTCATATCGAGGGGAAATATATAGAAATAGAGAAATAAAAAGCACCTGACTTAAATAATCTAGACCAGGAGGGAGGCTGCCTGGTGGAGGGTGACCTGACTGCCACACTTGGTTCTCTGGATTGGAAGATGAGACATAAAGGCTGTGGTCTGGGTCTGAAGCTCCAGGAAGAAAACCAGGTAGGCCTCTACTTCCTTGGTTCTGTGCATCTACAAGAGAATGAAAAACCCAGATTACATTTAAATTCAGACAGACCATTACATTTAGTCTTTCTTATAATGTTTGTTACTTCTTAATTCAGTGGATATATTCTCTTCTGCTGCCCTTTACTTCATTTTTTTTTTGGGGGGGGGGTGCTTTTTTATTGTCTAAAATTTTACATGTGTCGCCTTTTTCCCAGATTGACCTCCCACCACTCCATTTACACCCACTGGCCCGGTGTCTGTGTCCATTGGTTATGCTAATATGCATGCATACAAGTCCTTTGTTTGATCTCTAACTCCCCCACCTCCTTTGCCATTTGTCTCTGGATCTATTTTTGTTCATCAGTTTATGGTGATCATTATATCCCACATATGAGTGAGATCATGTGATATTTATCTTTCTCCGACTGGCTTTTTTTTGGCTTAGCATAATGTTCTCCAGGTCTATCCATGCTGTTGCAAATGGTAAAAGTTCCTTCTTTTTTATAGAGGCGTAGTATTCCATTGTGTAGATGTACCACAGTTTTTCAATCCACTCATCTGCTAATGGGCACTTAGGTTGTTTCCAAATCTTAGCTATTGTAAATTGTGCTGCTGTGAACACAGGGATGCATACATCCTTTCTGATTGGTGTTTCTGGTTTCTTGGGATATAGTCCTAGGAGTGGGATTACTGGGTCAAAAGGGAATTCCATTTTTAACTTTTTGAGGAAACTCCATACTGTTCTGCACAGTGCCTGCACCAGTCTGCATTCCCACCAGCAGTGCACAAGTGTTCCTTTTTCTCCACATCCTCTCCAGCACTTGTTGTTTGTTGATGATAGCCATTCTGACAGGTATGAAATGATATCTCATTGTTGTTTTGATTTGCATCTCTTGGATGATCAGTGACTTTGAGCATGTTTTCATATATCTCTCAGCAAGAAAAGTGTCTTCTTTCAAAAGTGTTCATTTAAGTTCTTTGCCCATATTTTGATTGAATTGCTTATCTTCCTTTTGTTAAGTTTTATGAGTTCCCTCTAAATTTTGGAGATTAAACCCTTATATGAAATAGCATTGGCAAATATGTTCTCCCAGTCAGTGGGCTTTACTTCATTTTTCCTTTTCACTGTCACTACTATTTGCACCTCAAAACAGAGAAAATGAATGTAGAAGATTGCTACCAGTAGCTGTGAGAAAAAATGGATAATTGGGGCAAAGTACATGATTTTTTAAAATATATTTTTTGAAGGCCCTAAAGACTTCTGTTCAAAGAGCTAAAAAATTATAAACTACAAAATAAAAGGAAATGGTAAAAGGAACCAAGTATTCTCTACTCGTAAAAGGATAACCTTAGATATAGGTTTTGAATCATATTATAACTTTCAAGGCACATTCTCTCTTCCCCAAATATTATGAGGGTGTCTCATAATTTGAAGATTACTTTGTGTCCTTATCAATCATGCTGTGATGACTAAATTTAATTCGTAATTCTTATCCTTTAGCCAGCCCCTGAACCACCTGGAGACCTTGTGATAACAAGATTTCTGGACCTCACTCCAGAGTTTCTGATTTAGTAGTTGGGGTGGGGCTTGAGAATTTGCATTTTTAATAGGCTCCCAGGTAAGCTAATGCTGCTTGTCCGATGATATACTTTGAGAACTAATTGTTTAATTCTATATACTATGAGAATATTCATAATTAATTTATGGGCTTCTTAAGAACAACATAATATCTAATCCTACCTAATAAAAGAGTAATATGCAAATTAACCATCACTCCCTCACTCTGTCACTCCCTCACTCCATCATAAAGATGGCAGTGGCCATGGAGCTGGAGCAAGCAGGAGGCTTAGGTTGCCCCCGGCAATGGAGGAAGCCAAGCTTCCCGCCTGCACTGGCCAGACCTGGGCTCTGCTCAAGGTTACAAAGTTTCAATTATAGAAGATAAATAAATCCCAGATACCTGCTTACAGCTGGCGTGGCCTCTGCTCAAGGAGGGGCTGGGAACCTGGGTTGCCAGAGGCAACCCAGGCTTCAAGCTGGAACAAGGCTACAAAGTTTCAATTATAGAAGTTAAATAAATCCCAGATACCTGCTTCCAGCCCACAGGCGTGGCCAGCCTGAAAATGGCCATCAGCCCCTCACCCAGGCTGGCCAGGCATACCAGTGGGACCCCCCCACCCTGAAGGGGATGTGGCCAGCCTGCAAGTAGCCATCAGCCCCTCACCCAGGCTGGCCACACCCCCATGGGGTGAGGGTCCCCACTGGGGGGCTTGACCAGCCTGAAAACAGCCATCAGCCCCTCACCCAGGCTGGCCAGGCACCCCAGTGGGACCCCCATCCTGATTCGGGACACCCTTCAGGGAAAACCAGCTAGCCCTCACCCATGCACCAGGACTCTATCCTATATAAGAGAAGGGTAATATGCAAATTGACCCTAACAGCAGAATGACTGGGAATTACTGGTCACTATGACACACACTGACCACCAGGGGGCAGACGCTCAATGCAGGGTGGGCAGTGCGCTCCCACAGGGGAGCTCTGCTCAGCCACAAGCCAGGCTGATGGTGCTGGCGGGAGCCTCTTCTGCCTCTTCAGCAGTGCTAAGGATGTCCGACTGCAGCGCCTGGTGCACAAAAATTTGTGCACGGGGGAGGGGGTGTTCCTCAGCCTGGCCTGCACCCTCTGCAATCTGGGACCCCTCAAAGGATATCCTACTGCTGGTTTACAGGGATTGGGCCCAAATCAGCAGTCAGACATCCCTCTCGCAATCTGGGACTGCTGGCTCCTAACTGCTCACCTGCCTGCCTGCCTGCCTGCTTGCCTGATTGCCCCTAACCACTCTGCCTGCTGGCTTGCTTGCCCCCAACTGCCCCCCGTGCCAGTGTGCTCATCCCCAACTGCCTCCCCTGCCAGCCTGCCAACCCCCAACTGCCCGCCCTGCTGACCTGCTCACCCCCACCTTCCCTTCCCACTGGCCTGCTCACCCCCCCCGCCCCCCTGCTGTCCTAATCACCTCCAACTGACCCCCACTGATGACCTGCTTGCCCCCAACTGGCCCCTCTGCTGGTTTGCTTAACCCCAATGGCCCCGCCCCCCACCAGCCTGATCATCCACAACTGCCCTACCCTCTTGGCCTCTAACTGCCTCTGCCTAGGCCCTGCCACCATGGCTTTGTCCAGAATGTCCAGAAGGTCTCCTAGAAGGTCTCCCAGTCTTAATTAGCATATTACCCTTTTATTAGTATAGATTAGCTTAGGTCTCAGTATCTTGTATAAAAGCTTTAAAATTAAAAAAATATATTTTTTATTGATTTAAAGAGAGAGACACATAAATTTGTTATTCCACCTATTGATGCATTCCTTGATTGATTCATGTATGTGCCTTGATTGGGGATTGAATTTGAAACCTTGGTATCTGGAAGACAAACTAAACTACCCGGCCAGGACTAAAAATTTTTTCTTTCACAATATAAATCACTTTGTAGCTCACCTAAGATAAAATAATTACAGATTTCTATAATGTTTGGATTTTTTTAGAGAATAACCTGTTTTTTTATATTATTGCCAGGTAAAAATGTTGCTATTTCAATGATCTCTTAGATTGAAATTTAGAGATTGCTATTTCTCCTGTATTAATCTGGAGCCTGTGTCAAATTGTGCATAAGTCCTAATAAGTGCATACAAAAGCATTCTTCTTTGTTAAAGAATAGAAATAATTCTTTCTATGATTATTTTTCCTTTTTCTTTTCATATGACTGCCATTTGGATACCTTCCTCAATAGATACCAATTTTTTAAAAAATTTATCAGTGTTTTTATTTCTCATATTTATTAATCCATTAATTAACAAGTTATCACATGTGCATTCATTTAGTTTATCAATACTATGCAGTTTTAGAATGAGTGTAGGTGTGGATTAAGTTTCATGACCCTTCACATATTAGAGGGGCCATTATAAAGACAAATAATTCAGACTATTCTAAAGACAGATGAATAGAAAGGACAAAGAAAATGTTTCTGGTTTACTATAAGAAAGAAATTTGTTCCATTTGCACAAAGATTTGAACAAGTATTCTCATACATAAACTAAAGTTAGAGTGACATCTATATAATAATTCACAATAAATTAGAATGATCTTTCTTCAGCATTGATCCTCAAATTCATATAAGTTGTGCATGTGGAGGGGGTGTTTTCTGAATCTTTTAAATCTCTAAAAAATAAATTTGGAAAAGGACTGAATTGCCCTTGGAGTTACTAAGTTCCTCATTATTAAGAGAATTCAACTTTAGCCAGGATGAGCACGTAGGGATTTTTTAAAAATCACAAAAAACTGGTGAATATACGCATCAAAGAAATGGTCTTTTGAACACTGACATAAACTGTTTCTAGTAATGGGAGGTCATTAAGGCTCTGTGTAGGTGTGGCGTTAAAGAGGAACAATAGCAGATTATTCCTTTATTTATTTATTTATTTATTTATCCTTAAGATAACAAAAATAGACAAAGATGGATGTTTGTACTGCTCTGTGGCATTTAGAATTTAGACAAGCTTCAGGGTTAAGACCATATGGAAACAAACTTTTCATTTGGCCCTACTAAAATAGAGCTCCCTACCTGTAGCATAGCAATTTGCTTCCCACAAGGACCCCATTCTGAACTTCTCTCAGATCTGGGCAGACACAGAGGATAGAAGCTTTAGAACTAATTCCTCTTCCACTTGAGAAGGAGCCTGAATGGGACCCTAAGTGGTAACCTGAGAGGAAGACTACATATAGTACATCAGATTTGGGAGAGGAGTTAATGGTTAGTGTAGTAATAACTGCTGAAAAATAACAGGCAACAAACATCTTTTCTTCAGTATTAGTGCCAAAGCACTGTTGCCATTGACTTTCAGAGAAACACACAGGCAAAATCATGATCTAGGGACAACTAGTTCATGATGATAAAATTAAGAATAGAGCTTTTTGGGAGTTAAGGTACATGGCTAGTGACTGGAAATGGAACTTTATGAGGTACTAGAAATGTTCTATATCTTGATCTTAGTGGTAGTTACACAAGCTCATCTTATTTAAAAACCATACATACAGATTAAGTTGGATGCTCATCATGTACTTTACTGTTCTCATGTTATCCTTTAATTAAAAAAACACGTGTGGGAATCAATTTCTAATAATAGCTGGTAGAAGATTATTAGATTCTCTCTGTCGATGTTACTACTAAAAAAGATTAGCAAATTACTCTAATTTTATCATGTAATCTATGTCTGCTGTAACAAAAAGTAGTAGGTTATTGAATGTCTGTCAAGTGGCTCTGCAGTCCTGACCCAGGTCTGTATAGTTTCTTAGACATCACAGCAGGCCCAGGGGAATTAATACACATGAACCCACAGCAGATCATGTCCAAAGTGTTAATTCATTAGTAGCTCCAGTAGCTGGAGACTGTTAGGGTCCCTATTCTGAGATCACTTGCTTCATCTTCTGGGATTTCAGTTCACATTGGAGCAGCCTTTAAAGCAGCGGTTCTCAACCTGTTGGTAGCGACCCCCTTGGGGTCGGATGACTCTTTCACAGGGGTTGCCTAAGACCATCGGAAAACACATATATAATTACATATTGTTTACAGTAGCAAAATTACAGTTATGAAGTAGCAATGAAAATAATTTTATGGTTGGGGGTCACCACAACATGAGGAACTGTATTAAAGGGTCGCAGCATTAGGAAGGTTGAGAACCAGTGCTTTAGAGAGATCTCTTATCAGGTTTGATCATCCTGGAAAATCCATTTTTCTCAAACTTAAAACAAAGTTTCATACCAACCTGTTATTAAATTGTGTTTATTTACACTAACAGGGGGCTTCAGACTACACAAATATTTTTTCAGTTCTAATGACGTCTAGTATTCAGACTGTCCTTTGATTTAGTGGTGCCAATTGAACTGCCTACAAAATGTGTGAAATGTCCAATAAGCCTGTATTCCTTGGGAAAATTATAATTGCCTATATAGTTTCACTGGCCAGAAAATATTCATATTACAAATAATGTCTTTAAATGTATCTGAAGAAAACTGTCCACAAAAATGTTTAAGTAAATAATGATGATAATTCAACTTGCCACCTCAAACATGATTTCTAAATCAAAAGAATGCTTCATTTTTATTCCCTTTAAGCAGTTTAGGGACTCTAACAGATGTTTTACCCACTCCACAGGTTATTTTGAGTTGGTTGCAGGAATTTTAGTTTTCCAGCAGAAGTTTTACCTCTAAGTTTAGTGTTGAGCACTTATCATTAATGAACTTCACTGCTTTCTTGGTAGGTTAATCATATTCTGATCACAGTATTGCTTTCTAGTCACATTTTTCTTCAAAGACTCAGACCACCAGATAAAGAAGAAACTCCTTTGAATTTCCATCTGGCTTTGAATTTCTATCTACTATTTTAAAAATGTATAACTAGCTCATAAATATTTCAAGTACTCTGTAACTCTTTACCTTCCAGGCTATAGTTTTATAACTCTTATTTTATAAAGTGATGAAGTGTTTCGAACGAAGTGTTAGTGCTAGTCTTAAATGAAAGAAAAGACCTGCCAAGATTTTTTTGTCTTCAATATAAAAATGAAGCACATATATTAAAATGAATGATTTTGATGTCTCAAGCCTATATTTCACAATTCGTTTGAGCTTTCCCAATAATACTCAGGAACTGGTATACATTAAATGTTGATGAAAAATAAAAAGTTACATTGCTTGTTCCATATTAAATAGCATCCGGTGTGTATTTTGATGAAAGAAGCAAAGAAGCATACACATTTCTTTGAATGGGTCATTAATTTAATTTAGGATATTTTAAATTGGCAGACTCTAATACCCTACGATTAACTAGGTTATGTTTCCACCAATTATTAATCATAGTTATTCATGATAAAACTTTTTATTATAGCTTAGAGTTTAATGACTTGTTCTGATGATGGAATGAAAGCACATTGCAATTTCATTTGTTTTTATAATCTCACAAGTGTTTTTAGTAAGGATGCTATTCATTACCTTAAAAAACAATGATATCTCTTGTCTTTTTGAGAAGTTCTTTAAAGTAAGAAAAGTTAGACAACACTAATGATATTTATACAATTTTAGGGATTTGAGGAAACACTTACCAGCTCCCTCCTCCAGTACCTAATTAACCTGCTTGCTTAATTTAGTTATTATATATAAAATTTACTATCAAAGACATTTTGAAAGAATTTCTGCTTTGTAATTCAGAAATATTTAGTTCTAGTCCATTAAATTTTTAAGATTTACTGATAACACATGTTGAATTCATTATAATAAATGATATATCACCTATTTTCAACAACATATAGAAATTTTTTAAACACTGAACTGTACTTTAACACTTTTTAACTTATGTGTGAAAAGTTTTCTTCAAATCCCTTTAAACTTGGAAGATCAACCTATTCTTGTGTTTGGCATTAAATATTTCCATTCTGAATTTTGCTATGAAGCTTTTCTTATTAATTCACTATTATATTCATTATAGCTAAGACATTGTTTATAGCTTAACTTTCACATTCTATCAGATAGTGTGTTTTTATTTACTTAATGCAATATGCTCCTTGAAGTTAAAATTTAAAAAATTAAAGTATCAATCTCTAGATTTTGAGTCATAATATGAAGAAAAATTTATTAGCTGGCTATATTACTCTTACCTTTAGAGGCCATGAATATTTCTGAGTCACGTCTTCAAAGATAGCCAGGTGAAAAGAAAAGGTTTTTCTTGTTGCAGCAAAGAGAGGAAACATGGCATGAATAAAACTTCAGAAGGTGTCTGTCTGCTCCATGTCAACTTACAAATAACAGAGAAAGGGAATGCTTCATTCAGCCTCCAGAGAGCTGTATTTTATCACTTCTAACAAGAGGGGAAGACGAAGCTACCAACAAAGGTAAACTCTACTCAGAAACCATCACATTACTTGGTGGTTGAAGGAAAAAATTAAAAATAATGAAAACCAAAAAGGAAAATATATAACACTCATTTTAAAAGTCTTGTTTCCACTTAGTTGTTTTTGTGTTCCTTGGAGTATATACTTTTGCTTTCACTATACATTAGACATTCTATTTTCCTGGTTGCTATAAATCTCCTGTGCCAGAGTCATGATAAAATATTCTATCATGTATAACTTTCTGATAGTTCTAAGTACAATATTTTATATTTTGAAAATGTTTGAACATAAACTTTCTTATTTTTCTTTCGAGATTTCTACCTACTCTCTCCCACAAAACAAATAAAAAGAACATGTATTCCCTCCTATTTATGTACATAAATAAATCTTTATTTTCATTTTTAATTGAATTTGATGAATCGGAGACATTTGGGAATACAAACCTTCGATAACCTTGCAGTTCATTGGAACATACAGGTGATATTTAGCTGCACTGCATACAGCAGGGGAAAAAGCACTGAAACCTGGCAGCTCACATTTCTAAATGCAGCTGATCAGGTGAACATGGAAATTTTGCTCACCAAGTCAATTGCCCTGGATGGCACAATTTGCAAAAGTTGAAGTTGCTTATATATTACATTATCAGCAATAATCTCTACTTCCAAAAATAGTTAAGCAGCATGAGAAAGCATAAAGAATGATGAAAACTTATAAAGTCAACCTCACAGGTTGTAGATAGCCAAAAGTTTAGGTTCTTCTTATTTGGCAAAGAGAGATTTCTTTTTATTATTGTTGTTTGGAAGTGTTCAGGATTAAAAAGAGTTGAGATTATTTGAATTGCAGGAAAGATATATAAACATGATTGGCATTTTTAAATTAAATTATCTGTTTGCTACATTTCTTAATGTTTGTCATGAGCATTTGGAAACACTTTACTCTAAAAAAAAAACCCCTAAATTGTTGTCAACACTATCAAACTTGGTATTTTAAATTATGGTCATAATTGACAAGTTAATTTTTACTTTCTCTAAAGCACCAATTTGAAAATAAAAAATAAAAGACTAAGTGAATTAAGCATATATATTGACCTGTACAAAGCCAACCATCTATGTATTTGTATTGGCCATATGACTAACTGATAGACTCTGAATATTTAGCTGCAACAGAGACTTTCCAGGCCATCTAACTTGGTAAAGTTTCTACCCATTTCTTTTTTCACGCTTTCCCCCTCAGTTCTGCTAAAGACCCAGCAGATACCAACCTGAGGTTTCATCTCCTCTTCCCTACACTCTTTTCTGTTTGCCAGCCTTTTTCTAGGTCATACTCACAAACCTTCCTTAATAGATTTCTCAGATGTTCATGTGTCCTGTTAATGTGCGCTTCTGTAGCCAGGCAATGTTTCTCCAGGAGCTGGCCTCACCTCCTCTCCTGCTGCTGTTGCTGCTGCCCTTCACCTTCACGGTACACTCAGTCCTCCTCTCCAAACATCTCCCACCTCCAAGAAAGAATCAGTATCATCATTTATCACTCAAAATGGTCACAGCATCCTCATCTCCCTCTATGAAGCCCTTGGCTTTTTCAAACAGCATCAGTATCAGTTTCACTCTGCCATCAGGTTGCAGGTTTCTGCTCTGCTCCCTTGATTCCAGGAAATATAGCAATACAAATATGTTTAACAGACATAACCCAAGGCTTGAAGGTAACATAATGGGAATGCAGTACAAGAAAAAAGACTTACAAGTGAATATCAGCACAGATGGGTCTCAGGAAATTAGCTCCCTCTCTCACCTGAGCCTCTGCTCTGCTGCTTGGCATGCTCATTCCTCAGGATGTTCTGCTTTGCCTGTCCTTGTCCCTCATGAAGGAGGGGCCTCTGTATTCTCACTGTCTTCCGTTATTGCCAAGAGGAAATAAAAAAAAACAAACAATCACATCATAACCTCACCACCATTGCGCCCTGCCCATGGCCTTTTTTGTAGGGCAGGCTATCACTAGTTTTGAAGGTCTGTTCATTCAATATTACATCATTAAACAGAACTTCCTTATTATTTGACTAGTGGCCCAGTGCATGAAATTCGTGCGGGGGGGGGGGGGGAATTCCCTCAGCCCAGCCTGCACCCTCTCTAATCCAGGAACCCTTGGGAGACATCCGACTGCTGGTTTAGGCCCCATCCCTGGGATCCCCCTAACTGGCATCCGGACATCCCTCTTCCAATCTGGGACCACTGGCTCCTAACTGCTCACCTGCCTGCTGACCTGATCTCCCTAACTGCTCTCCCCTGCCAGCCTGATTGTCCTAACTGCTCTCCCCTGCCGGCCTGATCGCCCCTAACCGCCTCTGCCTCTGCCCCGCCACCATGGCTTTGTCTAAAAGGACATCCAGAAAGTTGTCTGGAAGTTGTTTTGTCTAATTAGCACATTACCCTTTTATTAGTATAGATTGATTTCAGAGAGGGAGGGAGATAGAAACATCAATGATGAGAGAGAATCATTGACTGACTGCCTCCTGCACGCCCTACACTGGGGATCAAACCCATAACCCAGGCATGTGCCATACCAGGAATTGAACTCTGGGCCCTTCAGTCCTCAGGCAGAGGCTCTATCCATTGAGCAACACTGGCCATGGATACACTTTCCCTTTCCACTGGGACGTGTTCTGTTTGCTGGAGCTGAAACACTGAAGTTGTCTTACTGGGGCAGAGTGGGGTGCAGTGGGTTGGAGTAGGTGAAGCCCCCTGAAAGATGCAGAGGGGCCTTGTTTAACAGCCAGACTGTTTCATGGCTGTGCTGCCTCGCAGTTGAATGGCCACACTGTTGGGCTGTGCTACTGTCAATGGGAGTTTACACAACTGAACTGTCTGCAGGGATAGCTTCCTCCTCACCACACTCCCAACCTGGGGGTTCCTCTTAGGGTTGAAGGGACACTGACCACCCTTGGTTGGTAGCCCAATCGGCCACTTTGGAAAGAGAAGTGGGGAATCCTGATTTTACTTGAATGCTCCAATTTCTTAAGTTGGCAACTAATGCGAACTTCAGATGTTTGGGCCAAACAAGAGAGGTGGTCAGGTCTGGTGTCCAGGCCACTGGGCGGCACTGGGCTCAGCCCAGCTGTAAAGGGACCTAGGCGTCTGGGCAGGTGAAGGGGTTGGGAGTATGCTTGGGCAATTCCGATGTCACCCCACTTGGTTTTTTGTTTTTTTCCCCCACTGATCACAATTTATTATAATCTGTTGGCAGCATAGGTAGATATTAGTTACCAGAACTATGTCTTCATAGAAGTGGACAGTATGTAGCCATTCTATGGGGAACTGTGTGCACTTAAGCATCAGCATGATCTTTCAGTTTCTTTTTCTTTTGTTAATGAAAATAAGCTTTATTACATCAAGTAATAAATACATACAAAGATGCAAACACTATTAGTCACTGTCTTCCAGATGTTTGGATTCACTGATGGGAAAGGCGGAACTGAAATGTACATACATCCTTAGGGGAAATTTCAGGGGTCCTCGTCAGGCGAGATTCAATAAATTGCTCTTTCTTCTGTATTTATAACTTGTGCATTTTAAAGATTGACTTCAAAGTACTAATAGTCATGCAAATGCTTAAGCAAAAAAAAAGAAAAGTTACATTGAAAAGAACTTATACTGTGTGGTGAATGGGCACTGGCTACTAAAGCGCTGCCTCAGGACTCACTGAAACAAACCCTCAGACTTGGATCAGCTCAGAAGATAAACATAAAGAACCATGTGAGTAACAGAAATGTATCCAGAAGAGAAACACGTATCTGGGAGGCCAACTACAGTTTGCTGTGATAGGTAACTGACATGCATCATGTAAGTAAATGCTTTAAAAAAACACACAAAATGCCCTGGGTAGTTCCTAACTAACATGTAAATCTAATAACTGCAAAAATCTCTTCTCCATCTCAGCGATGGGAGGTTCAGAGCCTGATGAACCATGGGAGGGGCACGGGGAGGAGAAACCAAGCTGTTACCATTTTGAAACCAAGTTTCATATGAAGGGGGTTGCAAGCATGAGCTGTCACTTCTTGGAAGAAGAGGGAAAGCCTTTCACGCTGACTTAGGGGCTAGGACCTGGTGTTCTGCTCCATCTCGGCCAAGCACTCCCGAACCGGCCCTGTTGTGTGGATGATGCCTCGTTTCAGTCTCTCCATCGCACTCTTACTGCCCATGTACCTGAGTCAGATCTCCTTCCCTAGTTCTTCGATGATGACCAGCAGCTCAGCATATTTGCTGTAGGGCACCTGGCTGTTCTCTGTTCCCTGCGTGTTAGAGATGCTGGTCTTAGTCACTCAGCAGCTGGTGGTACTGGGAAGACGTTGCCATGCTGGTGGAAGGCCAGTGAACACTCCCAGAGGCCTTGATGGAGGTGGCGGGCATGTGCATGGTCAAGTTTGGTTTGTAAGACATCCCCCCCCGCCCCCCGCCTCCCGCTGCGCGGTGCAGGCCCCATGAGATGGCATCGGCAGCGGTGGCGGTGAGGCCAGGCTGTGGCGAGGTAGGCCTGGGGTCTGTGTGCCTGTCTGTGCGCCTGCCCAGCTCCCACACACTTTTTGTTGTTGGCAGCTCAGGCGCACTGGCAAATATGGCTGTCCCCTCACCCTGACACTGCTGCAGTATCATGATCTTTCAGTTTCTTGATGTTCTGCTTGTGCTGCTCAACTTCTTTCTGCAGACGCTCAAATCTCCTTTTTATGATGAGTGATCTCTTCTTCATGTTGTTTCTTCAAGGCTTCCAGCTGTTCTTTAATGCGCTCTG